TCTTTTTGAATGTTATAGTCGCTCAATGTACGACCGTCTTCGAGCTGCTTTCCAGCGAAGATCAAACGTTGTTGGTCTGGTGGAATTCCCTCCTTGTCTTGGATCTTGGCCTTTACATTTTCAATGGTATCGGATGGTTCGACTTCCAAGGTAATGGTTTTACCAGTCAATGTTTTGACGAAAATTTGCATGTTGATTCTAAATTGACAAAGAAAAGAAACGAAAACATTAAAAAAATGCAGTAAAATCGTTCAAAATGTTGCTATAATATGAAAATTGAATGCGATTCTGCGTTTGTAAACTAACTATTAACCCGACCAAGAATTTATGTGAAAATGCGTCGATAATTCGTTACTATATGTGATTTAATTTCGAAAAACAAAGAAATCGTTGGTTGTTCGTGTGTTTCTCGCTACAAAACTGCGCAGAAAAAACTCTATGAGTGTGTGTGAAGCACATCAGATGTTTTATGCAAGTCATGTAATTGGGAGAAAAAATCAAAATGGCGTCTGAATGAGAAAAAAATTGAAAAAAAAAATGTTTGGCCAAAAATGAAGAAAACAAAATATAATTCTTTGAAATAATCGTTGAAAAATCATTGATTTTCGATAATTCGGCTTGAATAATTCAGAAAAAGTCTAATTGAACAAAGAAAAAAAAAACGCAAATGGAGAAAGGCGTCAGCCAACTTTTGTTTGAATCGAAGTAACAAATGAATAAAATTATCGAATGCTTTTCCTTATGATTAACCGTTGAAAATGTTGACGAATTCACGACTAAGAAAAAAATGAACATTGAAAACATTCAAAATGTTGCTATAACATGAAAATTGAATGCGATTCTGCGTTTGTAAACTAACTATTCAACCGATTTACTTACATTTTCAATGGCCGCAAAATAAATGATAGCGTTTGTTGAATATTTTGGCTTGAGCACTTTTTTCTTCTTGAACTGTTAACTTCGACTTGTAGACAATATATGATGAACAATGGTGAACTTGTGGAAACGAAACACAGTGAATGCGTCTATAGTTGTCTCTGTCGCTCATCGAAACATCTGTATTGCGTTAGACTAGTTTTATGTGAAAAAAACGTACTAGATTGGTTGACAATCGTGCTCACGAAAGGGTCGTTAGTCTCAACCGAACACTTTTTCAAAAATATTTAATGACGAATCATTTTCACTCTTTTCTTTTTTTGCATTGATCATTATATATTAAAGACAAACTACCTACCAATTAGCATCACAAATAATTTGCGTTGCTTGTTTCTTTGAACCATTCAGTAAACAGTAGAATTCTAAAACATTAAAAATGCTACAACAGACCACCTTGAAAATTTAATTCCGATTGATTATAATGTTCAAGTCATTATGTCAATAAACCACACAATCAAATTACAGTTCAAAAAATGAGCCATTTCAGCTTGGTTTTTATTTATTTTTTAATCGTTCATACAATAAATCAAATGGTGTTTTCAAATAAATTCCAGAGAATAAATAAACTCTGGACTATTTATACCTTAAATCTATTTTGGAATTGGCGGTGGGCCATTCCGAGCTTTGATTACAGCTGGAAGTAGTGTATTTCCAAGGAAGCCATAGACGTGACTGTTGAAATAGATGATAATAATAAAAGAAAATTAGCCAATGTTTGTATTTAAGCAATAAGTCTGGTCCTTACATATATTCCTCAAGAATATCTGGTGGATCTCTGATTGTTCTTATGACTGGAACACATGATTTCTGTAGTAACGCTCTGATATGGCCAGCAACTGTCTTGTCAGCATTGTTTGATACTGTTGCACTCAGGTATGGTTCGATTCGATCCGAAATGAATTTCAAACGCGGCACGATAAATATTTTAACCACTTCACTTCCAAGCTCAGCCAAACCAGCTATCGATCCGTACAATGATGACAGAGATATTTTGTCATTTCGTAAAGCATTACTGAATAGTCTTGTCATACGTGTTTGTAAGTTATTTGTAGATGCTAAAATGAAACAAATCGATTCGATATTCCATTAGATGAGAATTTTGAATTATGTTCTCTGTGTGTTACAACTTACTGTTAAAATTTTTCAAAATCAGCGCCATCAGTTGGGCTGCAAAGTTCCGAAGCACCTAATGAAACAAAAAACGAAAGAGGTAATTAAGACTGTAATTTAGAAGCAAAATAAACAGTTTGCATTACCCAGTGCTGTTGATTGTCTGTTGACAGATCACGTGATACAATGCAGGTGGTCACCGAGGGTACTAATTCATGTAGATACTTTTCCAAAAGTAAAGATGGATTTTCCAGAAGCGCCTTGACCATTCGCATAAGATAAATCAACAATGTAAATTCCTTTTGCACTACATTCACCTTTACACCCTCAGCAATGAATGTACACATTCTTGGAAGCATTTCATGTAAACCTGAAAAATATTCGATATGCATGAATAACTATTAGCCACGTCATCTTATTGTCAAAATGATTCAAATATTAAATACTAACCGGGATCATTTGCTAATGAATGTAGCGCTTCTACGCGACGTGGTTCTTCTGCACCAACACATGCTTCGGTTATCTCCTTGTAGTACAGCTGTTGTTCCACCGACAGTTCATGCGTTGCAATTTGTTTGACATAAACGGTTTCCGAATTTTTGAATTTTGTCGTTGGCTTGCCGGCCACATCTTTCTCTGCTATAGTGTCAAGTTTTTTAGCTGGATCTGTTGAATCCACCAATTGTTCAATCTAAATGAGAAATTAAATTGAGTTGATTTTATTAAATAAAAAGTAATTCATTTAACAAATTGTAATTCTAATTACTTGTGATATCGGTGGTGGATTTTCAGGAATAGCCGGCTGAATTCCATTTACACAAAGCCAATGTGCTCGAAGTGAAACATCCAATGGTAATTTTGGTGGATTTGCTTGAGCAAGATGGGTCAAGTCTAATTCTTTGTCTTCGTTGAAATGTAATTCACGACCGCCACCGGAAGCAAATCGAAATGGTATAAAGTCACGTGTGACAAAACCGTATTGAGGCTGAATGTTTCGTACTTTCAGCGAATGGTCAATATCAGAAATGGATAATTTCATTCGTTTGGCATGATGCATAAATTTTGTACCGTCTTGAACAATTTGCTTTAATTTAGATGAAACATCGTCGGCCAGCTCTTTGGCTGCATCATCGCCCAATGAATTCAAACCAATACTTTCGGCAATCACTTTAATTGATTCAACGGATAACTTCGTTCCATAAAAATCACTCATCTTTAAAAATATTCACACTTGTCACTGCGTTAAATGTTTCACAATTCAATGTCTATAGTCGACTGAAAGGTTGATCATATTTTCCCCTTCTATTCTCTAAAATTCCATTTTACAATAAGTTTGTAGCGGAAAAAATTATATGAAATTTCATTAAAAATGATTGCTGAGTCAAAATTTAAAAACAAACAAACAAAAAGCACATACTAAATGGTATATATATCAGAAACATACCATCAACTCATTTGACAGAAGTAATTAGAGCATAGTCTCCAACGTAATTATCATAATGGGTACGTTCAATGACGTGCATGTGACAGGAGCGTTTTTTCTCCTTCTACAATGAACAAATTGAGCCATTGCCGTTGGTTAAAATATTTATTCGAATTGAAATGTTTCAATTGGTCTTTTTTTCCATTGCTTATGATTATCCGGTTTTTGCTAATGATTTCGAATGAGAATGTTCTATAAATCAAATAAAAATAAACTCTCAATGAATTATTGAATGCGAAATCATTTCAAATAACGGTATTTGTTGGATTGGTTCGACATTCAATATTGATTGTCAATAGGATAAACTGTGTTCACATCTACAACTCTATATATAGTGAATAACACATACACGTGTGTAAAGTATAAACGTTATGCGGCGCACTCGCAATTCATGTTTTTCTCCATATGAATGTTGTATCGTGTGAGTTGTGTGAAAAGAGATGGATAGTGAATAATAATAGCATCGCAAGTATTCGGACACACATGTGAACGTTGACTTCAAATATATAGTGCACAAAACAAACCACAAATTCAGAGTTGCTCTTATTTCAATCCAGTCTGTACGGCTGTCAACGTTCTCCTTTTTTTCGTTTTCGTTTTCTCCATCATATCCTTGTTTGAGGAAAAGGTGGTCTTCTGCCAAAAAGGATTTGCTGTTCGAATCAATTAACACCAAATTTTTGATTTCATCGCCTATTTTTCAAGTATGTATTCAATGGAAACAGTGTCGATTAAACTTAAACTCTGGTTTTTGTGAACTGAAAAAGAAAATTGGAATGCAATTGATAACAATTGGAAAAAAAGTGAATATCTTGTGATACATGTAATGCAAGTATTTGACAACATTACTCAAATCAGTGTTTGTGTTCTTCAATATATAAAATAATTAGAATTTCCAAATTGAAGTGTTTTTCATTGGTTTTATCATTGTTGTTTTTTTTTTGTTCAAAGACAAATAATCGAATTTGTGCAATAAGAAAAAGTATATGATACGCATACTTGTAGGGTGAGACCCCAACGCGGAAATTGTTGTTGTTATACTTATGCCGTGCATTAAGGGCATAAGCACACATTTTCCACGTGTCTACTGTATAGCACAGTGAATTCCATAAAATGTATAGTACATCTGTTCTATCCGCGAAATGTGAGGTTCTGCTATGAACGGCAAGGCATTGAAATATCGATCAATAAAATTTTGTATAACGCTTACATCATGTTGTGATGCGTGCAAAACAATCTTAATTTTATCCAAATTATTATTGACTTATCCATATAAAATTATCACATAAATTTACTGATTTATTCCGCATTTCCGTAAAGGTCAAAACGAAACGAACTTTACATTTCGCAGATGGTTTCCGAGGGATAATTTTCGTTTATTGACATGTCATATCGTCTTGTAATCAAATTGACCACACAATGATGCAAATTCCCCCTTCGCAACAAATAAACGCAAAGCTAGCTCAAAGAAAAAATTGATCCATTTATGAGTCATTCTTAAGCCTTCAAACTTCCATGCAGGTCACGAATCCTTTTTGTTTCTACAAATTTTTCCTTATACGCCGCAATTAGTTTGCCCAAAGATCCAAGCAAAAATTAATTAATTGCGTCATAGTAAGATATGCTACGAAATATATAAATAATTCGCTGTCAATTTATGTTGATTTAAGAGAATTCAAAAATATTTACACTGGAACTATTAATTTTAATACCCAAAAATAATTTAAAGTCATTTGAATTTAGTTATAATTTTGCTTGTCATAAAAAATATGCACATAAAAAAACTGAATTTGAACTGTTCCAACGATTTATTTCGAATTATGAAAGCCTAAAGTCAAAACATAAAAAACATAAAATCATTCACCCAAATTGATTTATTTGTACAATTCTGTATCCAAACTGGTCAAATTTAAATAATACGATAATTTATAATCATGAGGATGGATAATTTTTATTTTATTGCATCCATGCACTCAGAAAACATTGAACCTTCAACCTAAATGACGGTATAAGGGAACTATTTTAAAAGTTCAAAAGAAATGCAAAACTAGTTCATCTTATGGATATATTTATTTTCGAATAACTATGGCATACCAAAATTCCGAGTATTGAATTAGATCTTAAAGAGCCCAATATTTACTTATGAATCATTTTAATGAGTCATACCTACTGACAGTCAGTAACTGACTGCACTTGATAAACAACAAAGGTTGTATATTTCGTGTAATTGTATATTGTATGCAACTCAGAACCATAAACTAGGCCGCAAAATAAACAGAATTATTGCTGACTCGCAATAGATGTAAATTCAGATTGACAATTTTCCAAATAAAAATTACATTAAATAAATTCATATCGAATTAAATTGCGTCATAGAAGCGGTTCAGTAACAATCCAACGGTCATGACCGAATATCGCCCGAGTATGCATACCCATGGGTTTGATAATTATGTATGAATTTAGCCGAAATATAGCACTTTTTCTATCAACATATTCTTGAATTTTTTTTCTTTGTGCTATATTTATGTACTCTTCATACTATATACCCTCTCAAAATTTCAATATCACTATGAAATTTTGATATTCATGCGATTTTCATGAAAATCCACCGATAACTTGGGTAATACCCCTAAAGTTATGATATCGAAATTTCGAGAGGGCGAGAGTCAAGCGCAATAAGGGCACACTATATAAACGCCATCTATTAATAACCGACTAACTACAATGTAAATCAAACATATCTGTTTCCCCTTTTTATTTACTCCCTTCTCCTCTCGCTTTACTTTTACATTGTAGTTAGCCTGTTTTACAAAGATGTCGTTTCTGTGTAAGATATGTGACGTCACAATGTATTTATATGGATAGCGCTCGACTCTCGCGAGACGGAGAGTACATAATTATGGGCCAATTTGCTTAAATGAATTTATTTTATTATCGAATTATACCAATATTTCACCGATTATAACAGTTGCTATTTTTGAAGACGATATCCGGTCATGACTGTCGGATTGTTACTGAACCTATAGAAGCTAGGTTTAAGATATGTGATGTCGGTTCCTTAAACAAATTCAAAAACTATTTTTGAAAAACATTCAACATCGAAATATTGATTTTTATTATTTTTTTTCCTTTGAGCACACCATCAATTTATTTTATTCAGTTACAACGATTGATTTTGAAATAATATTCATCTAAATGGAAAATTCCCTGCTTTGTAAAAAAACCAGAAATCCAATGAAACTAAAAACATAATAAAAGAAGGGGAACAAACATTACTATGTTTCTAAAGCACAACCAAAATATTTGTTTCTGATTTGAACAAGAAAACATCGGTTTTGAATGTGATTGTCAATGTGTTCTAGGTATGTTTGTCATACAATCATTTTGGTTTTATATTCAAGGCCAGACATTCAGTTGCCAAATATACACCTGCATATCCTTACATATACATACATCATTTTTTGTTCAATCCATCTTGCTATGGAAAAAAGGATCTACAATATTTGGCTATATCAAACGGTCTATTTATAATGCAAGGCGATTTTTTTCCAATTCTTTGTTAAAAAACATAATGAATATCCATTTACATAAAAAAGGCCATTGTTCTCTTGAAATGTTGTTTGTGGCAGATGTATTTGGCAATTATGATGAATTAGTCAAATATCGTAGAAAGATAGTGAAAAATACATTTCTAGTGAAAAAACTCATTGTATTTCGATCATGCTAGAATCACGTCATATAGTATATGTAGGCAAACGTATTGTATTTAGAGATTGAATGCAAAAAATTTCACAGCAATCAAGAATGTTTACACCAAATTTCTTGACAATGCCGGAAAAGCTGAAACTTATTGCATCACTTTTTTTTCGTTCTAAGTGTTTTATACAATGATTTAAAGATGAACACACGAAACAACGATGACTCTTATAATTTCAACAAAAAAAAATCAATTGTTTTTTTTCGTATCACAAAATCAAGACTGTTCGTTAAGTCTAACATGATCTCACTCAAGGTCAACGTGAAACATGTCATATCTTTAATCGATGGACAAAAATGAGTTTATTGTTCTTCGCCAATACTGTTTTCGAGGAAAAAATTTGCGCCTATATTAAAACTTATTTTTACTAGAATTGGCGCCTATATGCCAAAAAAATTTATAGCTCAATAAAAGTATACTTTACAATGTGAAATTCAAATGACAATAAAATTGAAGTGAAAATGGTATTCGAATATTTACTCAAATTTAATTTATCAGAAATTCACCTTAGATAGTATATCAATGAAGAATATTTAAATTGTATCATCAAGTGAGCAATTTACTGAGTGCATTTTGCTTTATGTCCGTATGCATAACGAGTCAAAACAATAAGTCATTTGGCATGCCAATGTGAAAACGAGTGCAAGTCACTTGAGTGCATCAAATCGACAGTGTCAAAAAATGAAAATAATAAAAACTCAATGTAAATGTATCGAGCAAATTAATTAGAAGTAATTAGGTATATAATGATAATTGATGACAACAAACAGCAATTGATGATATCTATTCCATTACGAAGATCCAAAATGATTTCTAAGTCCTTCATACGTACACTTATAGTTTGAAAACGTGTAATTGAATTGTTTTCTTTATTCATAACACAGTGAAATTACGCCTACTCGCTGCATATTCAGACTATAGTCAATATATTGTAAATTAAAACTCATATTTCGTTTCTAATTTTATTGTGACAAATTATTATTGTTCCGTATTCTACTTAACTCGTTTAAACTGAACTCAATGGCATTGCATGTTCCAATTCAATTTGAAGATTCTAATACGTAAATCGATGATTTTCGCAAATACAAAATTCATCGCCTCTTGGCAGGGATATTGCAGTTCACTGAAGAGAGTTTGAAGTTGTTTGAATTCTGTGATTTTCCAATAAATTGACAGTGAATGATTTCTTGCGATGACCTATTTCAAAATACTTCAAATGATGAAATTCTTGTCTTATATACAATTTTTTTAATATACCAATATGAACAGTATTAGTCATGTTATGATTTACATACAAACCTGTAAAGGTATCAGATATGTGTATTTTGAATTCAATTGTCTATTTCTTCAACAATTTAATTTCAGTATTTAGCTGTATATTATAGACTTCAATCAATTATTAATTAAAAGTAAATGTTTCAATTTATTTTTTTCAGATATGAAAAAGATCCATCTGTCTTCTGGGTTTTCCGTACCTCAGGTGAGATCAAGATAAATAATTTTCTTATAATCTACATAAATAATTTCCAACTTGAATAATTTCAGACGATAATCTGTGACGGATAGTACTGCATCATTTTTATCATTCACTTAACCCACTGAAAATATTAAATAAGAAACAAAACGCGATTTGCATCCCATACATCTTTGCTTATCTGTCAGAATAGTGGAACCCCTTTTGTAGTATTGCAAAGGATATATTTTACTATTTTTTCAACTTTTTCAAGTGATAGTAGTCAGTGGTTAAAATCAATATAGTACGAATAGTACAAATTAGTATATAAAATTGAAAAAAACAAAAAAGAATTCCAACCATTCCGAAAGTTAATTATTTTTAATGGCGTCTACCAACCTGCACCAGGAAAATGCAAATAAATATGCATTAAATTTGATAAACATTTAATTTTTGCTCAATCGTTTCTTCATTTTATTCATTTCTCTAAAAGTATTTGTTTTCATAATAGCCATTTTTCGAAGATCGATTCAATTAAAACTTTCTTTACTTATTTACTTGAAATCTTTTTTTGTCCACTTGTTGATCAAGTGACGATTTCGGTTCTTCTTTTTGTCCCTTTTTAAAATACAAAATCAACAAATTAAAATAACAAAATGTTAGAAGCATATTCGACAAATATTCTGTGGTTAGTTATATTGGGTTTTGTGATTGCGTTTATCTTGGCATTTGGCATCGGCGCCAATGATGTTGCCAATTCGTTTGGAACGAGTGTCGGTTCCGGTGTACTGTCGATTCGAGCTGCCTGTTGGTTAGCCACCATATGTGAAGTGTCTGGAGCGATTTTAATTGGTAGGTATCAAGTGAAAGTCACAAATTTCAATGAAAAATAAATAAAAAACATTTTTTTCTCATTAAAGGTTACAAAGTATCTGATACAATGCGCAAAGGAATTTTGGAAACAAGTTTATACAATGATTCGGAAACTGAATTGATGTTGGGTTTTATTTCGGCTTTGGCAAGCAGTGCACTATGGTTGCTGGTCGCAACATTTCTTAAGCTACCCATCTCTGGTACGCATAGCATTGTCGGATCAACCATTGGATTCAGTTTAGTTGCACGCGGAACGAACGGCATTCAATGGTATACGTTGGGAAAAATTATTGGTTCTTGGTTCATTTCACCCGTCATGAGTGGAATTATGAGTGCTTTTCTATTTTGGTGTATTCGTACATTGATTTTGAAAGCGAACAACCCACTGAATGCTGGCCTTATCGCTCTACCTCTTATATATGGATTGACAACTTTTATTAACGTTTTAAGTATTGTGCTCGATGGACCTAAATGTAAGTTAATGTCTGCAAACATTACCAATAAGCATGTTCTAATCGATACGCTATTTTCATTTAATTTTAGTACTTTACATGGACAACATTACAGCACCAATTGCTATTGCGATTAGTTCAGTCATTGGCTTAATCATTGCCATTGCAATTCAAATATTCCTTGTTCCATGGCAGCGCCAAGAAATTACGGGAAAAACAGATGGTGGCCGTGTTAAATTTACAATCAATGATTCGAGTGAGTCGACACCGTGCGGAAGTCCAACGAAACGAAATCGACGTCCAGTATCATTAGTTCAATCCGATTCAAAGATGTTGCCTGCAATCACCGAACAAACCGAATTGGCATCGTTCAATAACCTAAGCAGCTTGAGTCCATGCTTTTATGCAAACGATAAATCGCAATCGAATGCCGAAAAAAATCATTCACAGACCAACGGAAACTACAAAATCGATGCAAAGATTGTTGCAAAGGCCGAAAAATTGTTGGGCAAAAATCGAAGCTTGGACAACATCGATTTGACCATTACCAGTTTAAACTTTATCGACGAACATCATCAACAACAGAATGGACATGGATTGTGTACAGGAATTCAATCTCAGCCTCTACAAAGCTACTTTGACAATCAATTAAACGTTCAATTTTCTTCAAATTCCAAACAAAGGTACGTATTGCAAAAAAAAAAACGACGTAGAAATCCGATTACTGATTTACATTTTGTTTCATTTGCACATTAGCGATGATATCGGGTCCACGGTAACAACGAATATGTGTAATGAAGTTGTCATTCCCATATCGAATACGACGGTGTTTTCGGGAAAAATTCTGCCAGCGGATAACAATATTGTGAGCAATAACAACAATGAACTTCAGACAAAAGGGGGAGAAAAAAATGCTATTGTGAACACTGAACACCTCGAAGCAAGCACTTTATCGCCAAATTCAAGCAAAGTTCCATTGATATCATCAAAGACCGATGAAGTGACCAAAGTAGATGACCCAGAAGATGTTTCCAAACTATTTTCATTTTTACAAATTTTGACAGCAACATTTGGTAGTTTTGCACATGGTGGCAACGATGTATGCAACGCAATCGGACCATTAATTGCTTTGTGGATGATTTACAAGGAAGGAACTGTTAAACAAGAATCAGAAACACCATTGTCATTGCTTCTATTCGGCGGCGTTGGCATTTCGGTTGGTCTATGGATTTGGGGTCGGCGAGTTATCGAAACGGTTGGAAATGATTTGACAAAAATTACACCATCAACGTAAGTGGCTTCTTCTCCTTTCAGCTTTCTGAATATCATTTTCGAATTAGTATCCTCAAAAACCTAATAAATTTTTGTTCTCTTTTTGCAGAGGCTTCACAATTGAAATCGGTTCGGCTTTCACCGTTCTTTTCGCTAGTAAGATTGGCATACCAATATCTACAACACACTGCAAAGTTGGTTCGGTCATTTTTGTTGGCTACGCTAGTGCTCCATCATACACTGATGAGGATAAAGCAGCCGGCCTACCACCGCCGAAACCAATCGATTGGGGTCTATTTCGTAATATTATATATGCATGGGTTGTTACGGTGCCAATTGCAGCACTTTTGAGTGCCATTTTTATGTTTACGTTGAGAAAATTGGTACTTTAGGAAGTGACGTTGAAATTTCATAACACACGTTAGACTTTCATTTAACGCTGATCCAATGCTAAATAGTCCGCTGAATATATTTGTAACTCAATATTAGATATAATATACTACAAAACAAAAATTTATAAGAAAACATTTCGGGGAATGAGTCATCACAAAAAAAAAAAATAAAGAAGAAATGAAATTTATAAATTCTAAGCTCTGAACAGATATTTTCACACATAAACTGCTATTTCGAAAAGCAAAACCAAATAAATAAGAAATAGATTATAACTACTACATTTTTGGACACAAGCAAATTCTGTCTTAGTTTTATATTCAAGTTTTGTCGATCTTCAGTTTTTGAGAAATTGTATAATTACATAATTTATCTGATTGTCTTAATAAGATATGTTTATTTCCCTCCTTTTTTTGTTACATTAAAAACTAATTAAATAAATTCAAAGAATGCCACAATTGGATAAGATTTCGTAAATGTAACATTTCAACAGAAATAATTTTTTAAATGTTCATTGCTCTTAACTTGTGTAAATTTTTTGAACAATGGTCTATTTTTGTGTTCGAAAAGAGAGTACATAAAGCCTGTTGAACAGTTAAATGTGAAACTAAAGTTACTTTACTTTCATGTTGGCACTTTCATCTCAACATCACATTTTCTTTGTGCCTTTAGTTGCTGTTCTTATTCTCTTTTCGATCCAATCAATATGTTTATATGATACTGTTGTCAATTCACTGTGAAAATAGAAAATAAATTTACAAAACAAATGCCATGAATTATTGCATAAAAGAGCGTAAAGACCTAAAATATGCCTTTCAATTTTTGCAATTACTTACAAAAATCTCTAAACCCAAAATAAACGTTTAAAGGTCGACCACTCTTCGGAGCTTTCACAATTAATAAACATTTATTATATTTACAAGCAATTATTTTGGTACGTACCGAAAAAGGACTTTATTTGGTGCGAAACGAGTTTGTAAAAGTGCTTCATTTGAAATTTATGTAAGTATTACGTTAATGTTATGAATTTATTTATTCCGTTCTATGTTGGCCAGTATCGATTCTCAACAAGTTCTCGAATGTTCGAAAATACTTTTACATTTTCTTTCATTCATTCTTTCAATAATTTTCTTATGAAATTAAATAATATTTAAAATAACTTTGCGAAACAAAACCATCTCCCTTTGCTCGTGGCAATTGTTTATAATGTTATTGTTATTTATTTTTGAATTGTTAAAACACCTTTCTGCTAAAGAGTATTTGTTAAATGAAACAAAACGTTCTATATTCAGTAATCATACCCTTTCAATAACAAAAACAATCCAAATACACTAACAATTGCTTATGTAAAGGCGTATGCAATGCACGCCAATTTCAACGTGACTCACAGCTATATGCTACGTAAGCGCGTACACGTTTCAAATTAACCGTATAAACCGAGGCAGATATCAAATTGCTTTGCATTGAGAGTTTGGCCATTTGATAAAACTAAATCAGTCCACCTTTCATACATGATGTCATCATTAATATGGAATATTTGCATCCATAATAACGGAAACCACAGTAGGAAGTCTGAATAATATACAGAAATAAAGAAATTCATCCATATCGATTTGATAGGAAAAAGAAAGAAAATGCAAAACAAACAGTAGAAACAGAAGAAATCGTATAGTATACGTGTAATATTGGTGTGTGTGTGTGCGCGTTTTGCATTTACTTGATAGTCACGTGGCACAAGATGTGCTCAAACTGTTGCCTGCTAACCGTAGCAATATTGAAATGGAAATAATAGATTTTCCTCCCGTCCTGCTTTCTTTGCCATTTGAAATGGATCCAGCTAATCGAGTATAAGTATAACGGCATCATTGCACTGAACGTGTTCAACGTGTGCTGTACAATTGTATGTGTTCGTCTATTCGATAAAAATTGTGTCTATTTGCTAGTTATAACTTGAAGTATCGTGGCACAGTACAGTCTCATAATGTTATCCGTGCGCAATAGTTGAAACATTTACACATCTTCAGATATTCAAAGTAACGATGCCAAAAATTTTTGAATTCACAGAAATTGTGTGTGCCATTTAATCATTCACTTTAATTTGTGGTGAAAATTGCTTTTTTTTCATTTGAAATAAAACGCATAAGACATCACATATTTTCTGGCTATTTTTATGTTCACTTTAATTTATTATAAAAAATGCTGGAAAATACAATTAATTAAAAAACAGTGTTATTCAAGATGTAACATTAATATTATATAATTGATGTTAATTAAGCATATTTTATAATGTTTTGTTCGGTGGAATTCTGAGGAAAAAACTTATATTTGTGACATTTTCACGTGTCTACTGTTTGACGAATAAAATTAAAAAAAAACTTGATAAATAAATAGAATTGTAAGTCACCGTTGTGCATAATACGTAAAATTGAAAGTGCAAAGTAATTCATTTTAAATGTACCCTGTGATTTGATATCATCGGTATCGGGTCACTAAAGCACTCTACTACTGTAACGTAATACATGGATTTAAAAAAAGGTGGATTTTTCGTCGTAGTATTACATAAATAAAATTTCTCACATTCGCATCGGAATCGATCAGTTCTTTTACTACAAAAAAAAACGTGATTATAAACACAGGAAATTAATTTGGTTTTCAAATTATCTTAAAAAGTGACAAAATCATGTAGAGTAAAATGGGTTTTCTGCAAAAGACGTCATTTCAATTGAAAAATGTGTCATCCGTCTACTAAATCGGAATATCTATACACGTGAAATTAATACTTTCATACCTTTAACCGTTCAATTTACGTAAAATATATTATTTATGTGAAGCAAATTAAAAGAAAGAGCAGGAGTACGCTACCGGTCTGTTGAAAATACTAATCAACATATTTTTGAATGGGATTGTTTTTCATTTGTTGATTTTTTGGAAGTGTAACGGAAAAGGTTTAATTTATAATAAGTGAAATTATTTCCTTTTATTGCTCGTTTAAAAAAAAAAAAGACATTTTGAACATTTAATAAGTAACACAATGAATACCAGTGCATGCATCACAATGACTGATCAATACAAAGTTGGAACATCAAAAGCGTATCACGATAATATAACAATTACACCGTCGAAAGTTGTGCACAAGGAGCGACATATTATTCATTGGTTTCGTCGCGGTCTCCGACTTCACGATAATCCGGCATTGTACGAAGGTCTGAGAAACTGCACCACATTTCGATGCATTTTCATATTGGACCCTTGGTTTGCTGACAGTTCAAATGTGGGGATAAACAAATGGAGGTGAATGAATCAATCGAAATTCAATTCAAATTGCACATCGGAATTTTGTATCAATCATATTTTTATCCACATTATTAAGATGCGCATTATTATGATTGATTGATTATTATTATTAGGCTAGTTAATGATGGCTTTAATTATTTGGTGCCATTTCAAACCAAAGCTCTTTTCTACCGGATGACGTAGGTAGATAGGTTTCCTTGGTGAAAATATAGTCGATATGTTGTAGGTTTTTTCCTCCAAATTACGAAGCACTACAAATGACTAATGCCGCACCAAAACCATAGCACTATTACGCAGCCAATTACTGCTTTTTTTCAATAATTATTCTACATTTCAATTAGTTATTCGGAGTTTATGGCTATTTATATATTTTTTCTCGAAATTTTTCTGTTATTGTCATTCAATTCAAATGTCAATGGGTATAATTCTAAGAATGTTCTGATTTTCGGATGCTTAATGAATAATTTGTATATATTTTTAATATTCGCGCCAGACAGTTAGGGCGAATATTAAAAAATAAACAAATTATTCCGAAACCCACATCTTGGAGAATTATTTGCACCCACTGAGAAATTCTCCGTGATAATTGGTGTGAATAATAACTGCCACAAGTCGCATACAATTTTCATCCGATTTTCATCCGATTTTCATCCGATAATCTGAAAGAATTTGGAGGTGCTGTGAGTTTCTGATAATTTGGCAATAATTCGCATAATTTCATTGCGCATATAAAATATCGTAAAGGAGCGAGTACGACGTTTCCCCCTTTGCTAAGCGAAATAAATCCGATATACGGCGCTGATTTGAATGTCACTCTATGTCATTCCACAATGATACATTTTTTGGCTTGACAATATATAAGCTCTTCATTCAACATGCATAATTTTTGAACGGTCGAGTAAAAAAAAGAAACATATCATATGTTAAAATATTCTTCTTACGTTTATCATAAAAATTCTCTATATTTTAAATTTATTCGTTTAAAAATAACAATAATTTCAATTTTTTTTTTCATAGATTGAACAAGAATCTAATGTAAAAAGTAATACCAATGCGACACCTACCGTTAAAATAGAAAAGGAAACTTATTTGGAACTGTAACATTTTGGTCCGCCATAACAGCATCTTCGTTTTGCTTCTCTGTGATTGGTCAAGTAAAACGAAGATGCTGTCATGGTGGACAAAAATGCTACAAGGGAGGCCAACTAAGTTTCTTTTTGCATTTTTACGGTAGGTGTCGCATTGTCATTACTATTTACATTGGATTCTTATTTAATCGATGAAACATTTTTTGTTGAAATTATTGTAATTTATAAACAAATTAATTTTTTTATAAAAAAAAAATTTTAATAAATTTTTTAATGAAAAATGTTAGAAAAATATTCTATGACATGTTTTTTTTTCAACGATTCAATAATTATGAATGTGTATGCATTTTAAATGAAGAGCTTATATATTTTCAAGCCAAAAAAGTATTATTGTGAAATGACAGAGTGACATTTACATCAGCGCCGTATATCGAATTAATTTCGCTTGGCATAGGGGGAAATATTTTGACAGATAGTACTCGATCCTTTATTCCATTACAAAATGGTCATCGCTGGGAGTATGCAAAGTTCACACCGATCAATAGTAAAATGTATTTTGATTATTCTTAGGTTTTTGCTTCAATGTCTCGAGGATTTGGATCAAAATTTGAAAAAAATCAACTCCAGACTGTTTGTCGTACGCGGTCAAGCCACAAATGTTCTACCAGAACTGTTCAAAGAATGGGGTCTGTTTCGTGGATTCACTTCTGTGAACGCATTAATGTGAATGATAATTAATTTATATTTGGTTTGTAGGCACAACTTGTTTAACATTCGAAGAAGATCCGGAACCATTTGGCAAGGAACGCGACCAAAAAATCATAAAAATATGTAAAGATTTAGATATCGAAGTGATACAAGTGGTTTCACACACATTATATAAACTCGAAAAGTGAGTAAATTTATATTTATGGTTTCGTTAAATAAACGTCGAAATTAGTTGTGCTCAAGTTTAAGCATAATCATTTACAAACTTCTTAAGGTTGAACAATAATTTGTGTTAATTTTCAGAATAATCGAGGCAAATGGAAATCGAACACCGCTCACATATAATCAATTTCAATGTATTATCGAAACAATGGATCCACCGCCTGTTGCCGAAATGGAAATCTCACCTGAATTGCTTAAGGCTGCAACCACACCACTAACCGACGATCACGAAGACCGATTTGGTGTTCCCAGTCTCGACGAATTACGTAGATAGGCATTTTAAAGTTAAATTAGTGAATATAATCTAATTTTGAGATATCTGTTTAGGTTTTGACACAGAGAATTTAAAACCACCAGTTTGGCAGGGCGGCGAGACAGAAGCGTTACAACGAATGGAAAGACATCTAGAAAGAAAGGCCTGGGTTGCATCTTTTGTAAGTTTCAACATTACACAATCGTTTCGAATTGTATGCAAATTATTATATAATAATCTCATTTAATAGGGACGTCCAAGGTAACATTGAGCAAAATACCGCTGTATTGTTAACCGATGTAATGGTTCAAGAGGGCAAATACTGTTTTTATATTTGATTTATACATTTTCAAAAGAAATTTTTTTTTTTATTTATTCACATTCAAGAATGACACCTCAGTCCTTGTTGGCAAGTCAAACCGGCCTTTCGCCATATCTTCGCTTTGGTTGCTTGAGTGTGCGTGTATTCTATCATCAATTGAGTGGCAAGTTATGTTACGTTATGCTTTATTTTCCTTTTTTCTAGCTTAGAGCAACAAATGCTTTATAACAATGATTTGCACAAAAGGAAAATTCTTTAAAAAAGTCCGGAGTTTAAACATTTTTTTTATTATTTTTCAGATTTATACAAAAAGATAAAAAAAGCACAACCACCACTGTCTCTCCACGGCCAATTATTATGGCGTGAGTTCTTTTATTGTGCGGCAACAAAAAATGGTAAATTCGACCGAATGCGTGGAAATCCTATATGTAAGCTTTTTGTATATTTTACGCCAATTTCCATTTCTGAAATTCCGAATTAATTTTTGTTTTTTTTTTAAAAAAAAAAAAAAAACGTAGGTGTTCAAATTCCGTGGGAAAAAAATCCAGAAGCACTTGCAAAATGGGCAAATGTAAGTAAATTAATAGTAATAAACCTGTAGTGAACCAAAGGACATTCTTTAAATTAAGTTTCTCGTAAAAATGAATCGAATTCAATAGGGCCAAACTGGATATCCATGGATAGATGCGATAATGACACAATTACGAGAAGAAGGATGGATTCATCATTTGGCAAGACACGCTGTAGCATGCTTTTTGACACGGTAAACATATATATTTTACTATAAGTATAAAATTCAATAGAAATGATTTTTGTTTAGCGGTGATTTATGGATTTCGTGGGAAGAAGGAATGAAGGTTTTCGATGAACTTCTTCTCGATGCAGATTGGTCTGTAAATGCAGGTATTGCTTTATTTGTTGTCTTATGTGGATTTTCTTTACTTAAGTTTCATTTTAGTTTGAATAACTGTTTTAATGCTGGTAAATGTAAATAAGCAAAAAAGATAAAATTTGAAGATCGATGCACCGTGCACTGTTCGAACTGAAATACTTAAGTTTGATTTTGTTCCGTATAACACAGGAATGTGGATGTGGCTTTCATCTTCGTCATTCTTCCAACAGTTTTTTCACTGCTACTGCCCCGTTAGGTAAATGTCGTTGTCTTTTTATCCTCATTGTTTTTGCTGCTTTTCAATATTTTTATTGGAAATCATTTTCATTTATATATACATTAAAATTGTAGGTTTGGTCGACGTGCCGATCCAAATGGAGACTTTATTCGTAAATATTTACCTATTTTAAAGGTAAATATGCAAATTTATAATTAAAACTCGATCCTGAAGCATTTAATTTTTAGCAATACAAGCCAGTTATAAAAAATACATACATATCGAATTGATTTTCTAGAATTTTCCAACGAGATATATCCACGAGCCTTGGAATGCACCGGAAAGTATTCAAAAAGCAGCCAAATGCATAATTGGCCGAGACTATTCAATGCCAATGGTGGACCATTCAACTGCAAGCCGTACAAATATTGAACGTTTACGACAAGTGTATAATCAGCTTTACAAATACCGTGACATAAGTATGCACATTTGGCCAAATAAAAAATTAAAATTAAAGTGTCTTTTTGAACTAATTAAAGTGTTGTTTATTCACACAGAAATTAGCAAGAAAGAATCGCAAATAGTTTTGGGTAAATATTTTTATTCTTCAATCATACAATATATAATCAGTTGGGGCTAAAACAATAGACGTTATTGTTTTAATGATGAATCACTTTTCTTGTTTTAATAGTAGTGATTGTTCATTAATAACTTCTATTGTTTTAGTCCATTTAGCTGGCTAACGTACTGTCAGCTCAACTGACCAGTTAGTTCAATATATTGTCTGTCAGTTACTAGTATGTCAAACAAGGAAAATTATTTATTATGCAAATTATAAGGTTGCCACAAAAAAATGTTCATTGATTTCATATTCACGTTTTTAGTTTACTAAAAATAGCTTTTCAGTCAATGTTTATGGATTAAGTTTTTTTTTTTTTAATTTAAAGCTAATTTTTTTTAAATGAAATTTATTAGAAATGGTGAAATCGACAGATAAGTATGTGGCCAATTCACCGGTGAGTTTGATGGACATGCACATGTACTCTCGAAAATCGAATTACAAAGGTCTGTTAGATACGGATGAATGTCAAGGTAATCAATTGACCGAGCTCGGCAATGAACAACACCATCAGCGCATTCGTTATGTGGAAAATGATCACGTTGAATCGGTCAAGGAGCTAAAGTACAATAAACGTGTGAAAACATTGATTGAGAACGAAACAAATAGAAACTATATTTCGCACAATTATCTAACTGAAAATCAAGATGAACTATTAGAAGAAACACAAATATCTGATCAAATGAAACAACAGAGTAGACAAAATGAATCACAGCACCAGTCATGTTATGAACAAAATATCGGATATGCACCGAATGAACAGCAAAATCTGATATTTTGCGAACAGGTTGAATGCGACACAAGAAACCATTCAAATCGAAAAGGACTCGAAAATCATACCGACTCGTCTCCGACATACAATTATATAATACGGCAAGAAAATGCACACAATCCAAATTCAAAGGATAATTTAATCGATGCGGTTCAATCGAATGACGTCAATCATTTGGCACAGCACTTCAACGATCGCTTGCAAACACATAGCCACCATAACAATACGAAGACTTTATTGGCCACATATCAACCAAATGATACGTTCAATGGTTAGTGTTCGTACTTACCGTTCTTGTTCTATTTTCGAAGAAGACATATTAAGTGCCACAAAGCAATTTTGATATTGTTTTAATATGAAAGTTTGAAAAATGTTTAAAAACACAATTATTTGATCTTGAATCAAAACGAAAAGAAAAAATGTTGCATTTATTTCAAAAGAAAAGTTAGACGAATAATATATCTTAGAGTTTTCAACGTAAAATTAATCGATTTAAATATGATAAAAATTGGACTAGAGGCACATTAATCGTTTGTAATCTGATATGATAAAAATAAATAAGAGAGAAAAATGTTGCAAACATAAATACCAGCTGAAAATATTGCACTCGTATTAAATGATAAAAAAAAATGTTGTAGGTGAATATAACAAATAAATATCAAGGGGGATAAATTCCGCATATATACGTATAACTGAGTATTAATTATAGTTTGATTCGCTAATATTTAAAACCGAAAAAGAAAATTGGTGCAAACAAAAATTGACTTAATTTCCACAATAATATGTGAACTATTTACTTTTCTATAGCTATATTTGGTTTTCATCAAATGGAAGAACTGAACAAAAGCTTTTTTGACTAAATTACATCCAACGAGAATGATCACCATATCCTACACTTGAAATCAATTTGTGAGGACGGACAGTTTTTTTTTTACTTTTTTTCGATCGTGAATTATTTGGCATTTGTAAGATATTTAACTTATTTAAGAACTGTAATTCCTACACGCACAATTCACAATCGAAGAAACATATAAGAAAAACCTACACACAGAACCCTCAAACAGAAATGATCTACCAAACAATTAGTTTTCTGCCCATATTCGGATAAAAGAGTATGAGTAAAGGGAAGTAATTTGATTCGAAAATTCAATTATCGCTTGAAAATTCTAAAAAAATCCCTTAAGATATAAAAAAAATTAACACACAAACATAAAATCAAAAAAAAAAAAAAAAAATTCGAAACGATGTTCCGAATGAATCTCCCAACACTACTTGTCTATTTCGTGAATTATGTCTAAAATCTCTGCTTAAACAATAATAAATAAATATAAAGTAAAATTAAACAATTAAATTTATTCTAAAACACACTGTAAATGCTCTTAATTTGCAAGTTTTATGGGTTTTAATTGGCACAATTTTGATTTAAAAATACAATATGTTTAATCATTGATGCGATTCGAATTGCTGAAAATTCCGCATACATCGAAATGAATTGTAGAAAAAAAATCGAATTTGAATGCTTAACTTTAGCTTAGGAGTGTAATTCTTTTTGCGATTTAAATTCCATCAATGAGATTGACCACTTGCTTTCATTTTAGTTTATTTTGAAATTCATTTTCCAATTGTTTTTTTAATTTGAGCTCACAAATTAATATTCAATTAATTGTGTATATGAGTTGTCAAATGGTTTAACATAAATAAATTTTGTGTTTTTTTTTATTTGTACGTTTAAATATGTACCTGAATTATTTGAAAGAAGAAAAAGAAAACTAATAAGTTGTTGCTTTTAATAATATTAAGTAAATAAGCCAATCTTAAATCAATTTAATTTCTCAGAAGCATTGAGAACTATTGCACTTGATTATTTCATTAAAATTGTTTTAAATGAGAAAAGAAAAGTTCCAAATTCAAAGTCTTAAGTTCTCTTTGCTATGTTTTACCAACGAAAAGGCAAAAAAAAATTGTTTTGTGAAAATACGCTCAGTTTGTTTTAAGTATTTGAAAAAATGATTTTTTTTTTGCTAAACTACAACACTTTCATCGATTTCATCAGTACATATGTCATCGTTCAAGTTATCTTCATCCAGTACATGCTCCCATATGGTTTTGAAATCGGTGCTGTCCACTTTTTCTTCCATATCCTCAAGACTCTCTTGGAATTTACTTAATAGCTCTTTATTCATGACACATTCGCCGTTATCATTGTTCATCGTGAATCCATCGACATCGTTGTCGCTACTGAACGGACTGTGAACAAGAACTACATTACAATTGAGCGCATCGTCACCGAAGAAACAGTCATCAATAATATTGTTCAAACTGGACTGTGTCGTCATATTGACAACCGACTGTTTTCTATTGCCATCAACCAAATTCAAATCAACGGTAGAGCTTGCCTCTAGCAAACTCATTTCATCTTCGCTTGTATTCGATATGGCTGCAGCTGGGCGTGCACAATTCATCTGTGGCATTTTTGCATCACCACTCAAAAAAACATTTTTGTAAATTTCCCCATTTGCATCTAAATAATTTTTTTTTTATAATAGTAGTCAGGAATTTGTGTTGAAATTTATGAATAAAATGAATCTATATCAAGTGAAATGTGTGGAAATTAATTTAAAATAAAGAATTACCATTATCCATTGAATTGATGTCGGACGTGAGATTTTTCGATTGGATATTGTGCCTTTCGTCGGTACTCGATTCATTTGTATTGCTGCTTTCCGACTGTACGAAACCATCCGTCGGTGCTTTTGTGTACTTTTTAAGTTGCGCCACAAAGTTTCCATCGCTCCAAATGTGCTCTTCTTCTTTGTGCACGATGCGCAAGTGTTTTATCATACTTGGCTTTCGTTTGACCATCTTATTACAGAACGGACATGTGTATGTGATATTCTCGTGCACGGTTTTGTGACGTTTCAATTCATATTTCTATATTTTATTTTATTTTATAAAAATATCATTATTAATATATTAAAAAAAATTATTTTGTTTCGACTGTCGATTTAACATACCTTGTTGAATTTTTTCGAGCAACTGTCACACTTGTGCATTTTAGTTGGTGACGACGGCGATTGATTATTGTTATTTGCCACCTGAAAACAGTAGATAAATTAGAGTTGGCTATTTGCAATATGAACAATTGAATATGTTTACCGTTTTTGGGTGATGCAATGCATTAATGCCGTTTGACTGTTTGTTAGATTTTTCAATTTTATGATGTTTTGCGTCTGTGCCTGATTTCACATAAGAATCTGTTGTGGCATTTTTTTTCGCTTGCGAAATTTTCCGTTGTTGTTGGCCAGAGTTTTGATCGTCACCATCTTTGAATCGATTGGATGGGGAGGATGTTGTTTGAATGCTTATTAGCGGTGGAACTGGAATATCGTTAACTGTGCCATTGTTTGCAGTCATTCCTTGGGTCGATATCTTCTTTGTTCCGTTTAGCATATTGTGTCGTTCATTTAGTTTTGAGGCCAACGCTTTTGCTGTCATCGGATTGACCGGTGATCCAGTATGTGTGATCGAGGATTGACTCTCACTCAAATATGACCGCTTGGTATTATTTTTTGAATGGCCATGATTTGAAGAGGAACGTTTAACACCAGTCAAAATTCTCACTGTTAACAAATAAAAAAGGACATTGAATATTTTTGTAAACTAAATGTTAAATCAATATAACAAACCTGCATGAACGCTGCGCAAGTGTTTATTCATACATGATTTGGACTTGAATTTTTTCTCGCAAACAATGCAAGAAGAAACTTCATTGTCTTTTTCACCGGCTGATGCTCCATCAGGCGAACCAATTTCAAGCTTATCCAATGCCAACGTCTGATTTGCAGCGGTATCGTTTACGATTGGTATGCTGTTTCCAATACCATTGTTACCAACAATGGCAGTACATGAGTCTGATTCAACACAGGATAGAGTCTCTGGCGTAGAGCCCAATGCTGCCACAACAAAACCATCTTGCGAATTCTTCTCGATATCCGAAAAATCGAAATTCTCTTTGGAATCATCCTTAACTTTTTTGCTCTCTTTTACTTTCTTCTCTACCAAAATGTCTGGCTCACTGTCAAAATAGAGTAAACCGAATTTCAGTGAAAAAAAAAATTGGAAATATAATTGTTTGATGAGTTAATTTACCATTCGCCAGCCGACACATGTATTTTGATGTGCCGTGTCAATGACCAGGAATTTGAAAAATATTGCATGCATACAACGCATTGTGGTTTCTTGTCGTCCGACTTTGGACACTTATGAATGTGCTCTTTTAGTTCATTTTCATGTGAAAACATATTCATGCACAAGCTGCACAAAAAGCAACTATGCTGAGCACGAACATGACGATATATATTGGTCATGGTTGAGTATTTTTTATCGCACAATCGACACGGATACACTTTTTTTTCATCTTTTTCGGTGCCATTTTGGCCGGACGCATTTGGATACATTTGCATATCGCTTGTAATACTTTCGTTATCATTTGCTGTACTCAAGAGTTTCTCCAGTTTCTCCAGTTTCTCGCCCTCATCTTCGTACCCCATAAAGTCATTGAATTCCGTTTCTGTGGAAAATGTATCATCCAAATTCAAAAGTGAATTATTGGCGGCATATTGTTGCCCATCATCGTTTGTATGATCGATCAACGAATTAATCAAATTATTTGTACTCGATCCGCCGTCATAATATGAGTTGGTTGCACTATACGCATGATTTTCATAGCATACATACGACGATGGCTTGATTATTGTTTTAATTGAAGGTAACATAATTTCTGGAAAATTGAATATTTCATATTTATATTACGGCATTACTTAAATCACCATTCAAATGAATACTCACCAGTTTTGTGATTTGGATCATGATCATACGCCGTATAATTGCCAAACAACTGGATCTCTGGCAATGCAACACCACCGCGACTCAGTACATTCTTTGTTACCGGATACGGACTTTCAAGTAAGAGCGGCATTTTCATTCGTTCACCGTACTTTGGTGAATACCAAACTTTTAACAGATCGCCAACGTCGAGATCTTCAATGGCCGCAAAGAAAATCTCATTGTCCTCTTCGTATGCGATCAGATTTTGTTCGTTTGAATACTGAGCGGGATCAACATGAATCATCCAATTGCAGTATTTTTCATTTCTGGTGTCCAAATGAATGTGTCTTACGTTGAATAAATCTCTTAGTTCCGACATGTGCATTGCATCCATGTCTAAATTTACTGTGCCGAAAATTTTTAACGGAAATTTTGCATTTTCAACAGGTATGTAAGATTTTGGTGCCATTAATGGGCCAAATCTGCATCCTTTCGCAAATTTTTGTACCGATATAATGTGTAAACCCATCGCATCTTGATAAATTTGTAAACCGTGCGGCACTGATGACCACGATAAATTATCCGTTGATGTATCTTTAACCTTTTTTGATGAAAATAAACGTTCAATTTCGTGATTATTTATTTCGTTGCATAAATCGTGATTAAAAGATAAAAAAAGAATTAAAACGTAGATACACTTACGTGTTCTCCCTTAGATAATACTGGGCATACATAAGTGTCGTGATCGGATGAGGAGCAAAAATTGCACGCTAAAATCATAATCAAAACGCATTAATTTTTCGTAGAATATTAAAATAAAAAAAAAATCCAATTGGAATTCTCATCGAATTGTTATGTGAAAATGCCATAACATTATCGATATAAGGAAAACTCATTGACAATAACAAAACCTAACCTCAAAACTCAATGTATATCAAATCAAAAAGGAGAGAGAAAAAAAACATCAAATTTACTTTCGTGATCATTGAGTATTGACAAAATAAAGACGAGAAAAAAAAAAACAAAAACAATTAACCAAATTCTACTAACAATTTTCCACATTTTTTATATTCTGAAGTGTTGCAAGAGCATTGAAACAGATGTGCGAATCCAAAACACTCTCACTGGCATCCACATTCATAGTACTTGTTATTTATGTTGGTATATTATCTTTACGAACGCAATTCTTTTTCGATTTATTTTTTTGAAGCGCAAGAAATCGATTGCTTCACAATAACTTTCAATCTGCATTTACTCTAAATTCCATTGAAACAACATTCAATTACGAAACTTTTCGTCGATCGAAAATTACTCAAATATATCGTTCTCTCTTTCTGTTCAGCCAAACCAATTTATCCAGTCTCGATGACAACTCTCAAATCAGTTCAAATTTCATTGCACTGCACCAATCAATTTAGAACAAATGTAAAATGAACGTGTTTTTATTTCGGCATCTTCGACGATTTTTTGAAATGAATGCAATTAATATGCGACAATGCCAATTAACTTCAATATGCAATGATTGCCAACAAAATATTCAATTCAATTCAATATGAAATTCAATGTTTTCTTTGAAACTGTGCGATACAAAATCACTTCTTCTTTTTTTCTTCTTCTTCTCTCGTTCATCTGTACATATTTCTATATTCTTATTCTTAATGCGAACACAGATACACATCAAGATCCTATTTTACTTTCAAACATACAATACATGCATACAGACATAAAACAAACGGTATTAGTTTTTCATTCTATTTTTGATTATTTTCGTTCTCGCTCTTTTGCATTTGCACATTTACCGAACGAATCGGTCTGTTGTCTTATAGGATCGGTTGAACGGTGTGGTATCGGTATTGAAAACGAGAGCAAGAGAAAAGTGGAAAAAGGAAAGAGAACATACATTTGTGTAACACACAGATGGAGAGCATTGAGGAAAAACGATAAAACGCATCACTTAATCGGTTGGCGGTGTGAGTGTGCGCACGGATAATAAACTCACTAGAAATGCTCATAGTGTGTTAAGCATGTGTGTTAAGTTATTCGCGTCTTGCTAACGGTACATTTGTGCAGTGAGATATTGTTTGTTTACAAAATATTGAGTGATTTTCCACCGAAACTATGGACCAGTGGTATGTATATTCTGCTGACTACTACAAATACTGTATTAATATTCCTCTCAACCTTTGAACGAATGATACACCGTCTTTTTTTCATTACCTGTTTTATATTACAACATCTTGGATTTGAAGAAGAAGAAAAAAATGGATCCTTCTATACATGTATGCGTTTTTTTTTTTATTTATAGATAAAAAGAAATTGAACACATGTACGTAAGTTTCCATGAGTCAAAATAGATTTGAGTGAAAAATGTTCAACACATTCAACGCATAATTAAGGTGTGCACTCCTATTTAAATTTGGTTTATTTTGGTTTTAAAGAAAAGGAAAACCGGCGCGTGCGCAACTTTCGTTTTCTTTCTTTTCATTTGTATTCGAAACCCAAAATACACATTTGCAATAACAATAAATAGCAAGTTTTGAGTGGAATCAAAATATGATGATGCCATTCCAAAATACCGAGTTAAATGTCTATTATTAAAAGCATATACAAAACTCGTGATTTGTTTGGACTTAAAATAAGCATCTTTATTATCTTCAGAGAGTAGGAAGCGAACCATGTATTGTGATTTGTTTCGTACTAATTTGTAGTAAATTCATCGTTAACTTTTAATACGTATTCAGAATTGTTGGGCCATTTTTATTTAAAAAAAAAGTTGCATTGATAATAGCTGATTCTGTTAATTGGGAACAACAAATGACATTTTTGTTCGACTGAAATTTCATTTACATAATTATTGTATTAATAATTTATTTAATTGTTATTAAATTCTCTTTTGTTTCCTCTTTGTTGTTGTTTTTGTTTTTACAATACTTTTTCAAATATGGCAGGCTTTTTTGCGTTGTTGAAATTAGTATGGATGAGATGAACCATGACCATGACCATGGCCTTGATTACTGTGATGACTGTGATGCCCATGATACGAATGATGCCCATGTCCACTGTTATCGCCGTCACGTCGATAGTTTCTATCGTGTGGACGACTGTAATGTTGCCGATAATTCTGTCTTTGATGATCATTATTCCGATGATAGTTATTCCTGTTATTTGGACGATAATTGTTGCGATTATTCCAATTGCCTCTTGAATCGCCATAATTTCGTTGTTTCCACGGTTCAACTATCGGTGATGGTTTCGATGGTTTTTTCATAAACTCTGCAAATTCCTCATCATCTACGGTGTATCGATTCCGGAATTCTAGTTCACATTCTCTCAAAAATGCGGCATCATCATCTGATAAACGATTTATTTTACGATCTGGGTCCACCATTTTTCTTCTTCTCTATTTTCACTTACAAAACGGTATAAAAAAGCCTATAAAAGTCACACTATTTGATGTACTTTCAGAATTCGGTATGATGCTTTTCGGTCATTAACAATGAATTAACGTCTAAAAAATGAGAAAAAAAAAAACAAAAATTCAAAAAATCTTTGCAAATAATTGAATTGCACATTTATTTGACCACTAATTTTTTTACTTACGAGATTCGGTTAAAATATCACCAACAATTAAGGCATAGAATCCTTGATCGGATGGCGCGTGTAATGAATTTATTTCTGGACTATCGGCAGGTTCAAACATCCAACCCAAATGACGTGTACATTTCGAATTTGAACACAAACAAATGCGCCACTTATAACCCGGAAACCAACTGAAATGATCACTCCACTACGAATAGAAGAGAATAAACAATGAATTTCATTCAATTTCAATGGAATATCGAGTATTTTGCCGAATTTACCCGAATATTAATTGCAGCACAGTGCGCCTTTCGAACGATGACAACTTTGAATTGTACACCAAGTGAATTTTCTAATGTTTGGACGAGAATTTTCTGATGATTGTAGAACGTTTGATTTGATGCCGACAAAGCATACGGACTGATTTTATTTAGAAAAAAGTTTGAAATCGTTACGTCGCTACCGCAATATCTACACAATATAAACTCTGGAAAATAGAAATACCGAATATATGTATATATCGTAAAATTTCACGAGCAATGTGATAATTACCTTCTACTATTGTTTCTTCTTCAGTAGAATTGATGGAGTGTGTAAATGTTGGTGATACAAAAATTAAAAAAAATAATAATATTCTATTCATCAGAGAACTATTAAGCATTTTTTTTCTCATTTGTGTCACATTTACTGACATTTCTACCTGAACTGTTTTCGGCGTAAAATTGCCCGATGCAAATATCATTTGTGGTGGTCGTCGCAATACAGTAAAATATACGAATAAACTCTTTAAATACATAATTGAAAAACATAGCAGAGTACATTTTTTTGTATTCATTGTGTTTGTTAATCGTGTAAAGCTAATCAAAAATCAATTTAGCTGTACTTTCTATAACGGTCCCAGGTTTTAAAAACTCAGCGTAAATTCACAGGTGGCAACTTGTAAACTTTGACAGAAATCTTAATATGAAAGAAATTAAGCGAATGGCAACTTCACGCCGTATGACTAACATACATTATATTTTTATGTGTTTTAGTTCAGTATTCAACTAAATTCAGTCGCAGATTCACATAATAAAGGGAACAATGGAGGCAATAGTAAATTATGAAAGTGATGATGGCAATGGAAAATTGAAAATCACAAATGAATCCACTTCCAAGGTAAGTGTTTGCCATTTATTCAAAATGTATGCGTTGTGAAGAGCAAGTATTTTCATTTGGATGAATCGCACCCATTTTTCCTTGAAACTGAAGGGCATTATCTTCTACCAAAGATGAAGGTAAAACTGAATAACAATCAGTTGAAATGTGTGGTGTTTATTGAAACTATTCAAAATTGTAAATGTTCCAAGAAAATAGTTGCATTTTGCAATCAGCATACACGGAAAGAACATACGTGAAAAATAGCATATGCTTTCATCATTGTTTCTTGATGAAAAAATGTGTAACATTTGATTTGATTAGTGCGCTTGCGCGCTTCATCTCCAATGATATGAATAACTTTTCGATTTTTCTTTCCTGATTTCTCATCATTACCAAGAATTTATCTTCCCACATTCATTTTAACAGACAAAAACACGTTATTTTTATTTTTAGGGTTCAATGAGTAAAAAGGAAAAAAGACGTTATTCAAGCGACGATGATTCTAGTGATGGTTCGAGCTCACCTCAAGAGCGAAGCCGCAAAGTCATAAATGAGGTAAAATATAGTATTTTGAAAGAGTAAGATATGTAATTTAAAATTCTTGAGTTGGTTCAGAAAATCGACATTTCTTTCGATCACATAGTTTTCGTTTTCATAACGTGCGATAGGGCAATACGACCTTGAACATCAAAATTTCATAACCTTCATCTACCATTTATAATATATTAGTTTAATAATCAAAACAAACAAACAAACAAACAAAAAAAAAACGAATTGAATTCCAATTATTAACCAGTAATGTGTTGTTATGTATTTATTCAATTCTGCTGAAAAAAGAAAGAAAAATCCATTTTCAAAACATAAGCCAAAACCAAACAGAAAAAAAGCCAAGAAAAAGAAAAAAAGAAAAGAAAATTAAACCTGAAAATAAACTGAAACCAAATGCAAGTATGCAAGCAAAGAGAATGCGAGAGAAACGCGCGAGCGCTTGGACTGAATGAACCACCGACTGTGAATTGTACTTGCCCCTCACTCGTCGAAAGTATTTATTTAGCACCCATCCGGCAGTAGCTGCGGCCGTTCAACCATTTGTAGCTGGTTTCAGTCTTCCAAATAATTTGCCCATTTTATCGTCGCTGCAAATATTATTCGAACTATACTCGATACCGTATGTTGATCACACAAAACATACGCAAAATAATTATACAAGTGAGTATACTGATTTTGAGAGCGAAACTTATTTTTGTTCTACTATTTCATTACCAAAAAAAAAAAAAACATAATACAATACAAAATAATTTTTTTTAAAAAATTCAAAAAAAACATGAAACAATTTGATGCTCTTCTTTTAACTCATTAGTAAATAATCAATTTCTTTTTCTTTCTCTTTGCAAAAATTTAATTAGTGAGAAAAATGAAATCAAAAAATAATTTCAGGTAAAATTGAGCAAAATACCGCTGTATTGTAAACCGATGTAATGGTTCTAGAGGGCAAATAAACAGGCTAATACACAAGAATGTTTATATAACAACACAAAATTTATCAACATCGTAGTAATAGTATTCAAAACTGTCGTTTTGACATTTGATTTATACATATTCAATAATTTATTATTATTATTTTTTATTGTCAATTTGAGAAATCAGAATTAAATTGCTAAAAGTCCTACACATTCCAACGATACATAAACAAAATCAGTGTTCAGGCCAATAGATAAGATCTGACAGAAATGTATGTCAATTTTCAATTAACAGGATGATAGCAAATCATCGAGCCGATATTCTCCGTCGCCACGTAAATCGTCCAGCAAAACTTCAAGAAATGATAAACACAAAACGCATGAAAATCGCTCGGACAGGAATCGTTCGCGTTCGCGTAGCTCGTCCAGAGATAGACATGATCGGAAGGTATGTATCACGTAAATTTTTATTATGTGATAATATTTCATGAAGATTTTTATTTACAGAAGAAGAAGAACGGAGACAGAGATGATCGAAAGAAGTATCGTAATCGGTCGAGAGATCGGGAAAGACGACGTGAACGAAGTGATTCGCTGGACAGAGAAGATCGCCACCAAGACAGAAGTAGTGAACGACGAAAGGATCGATATGATGACCATAAACGGCATAACAAGTACTTTTTTAACTTCAATTCTCATGATACAAAAATTTCACAGTAAAAATAAATCTATTTCAGAGCCCGTGAAAATGAGCGTCGATATGAGGACAAAAGAGACTACAGTCAAAGACGTGACGAATCATCCCACCGAAATAATAGTCGCAGTTCAAGTGATGCCCGCACATCCGCTTCGTCGTCATCGTCATCGTCAAATAGTTCAAGTGCCATTCGAAGAGCCGAGGCACTCAACAGACAAATAGAGCGGCGTGCCAATGAAAAGGTTCAACAACTCCAAAAATTAGGCATTGAAATTCCAACTTTGATGCAACAGCATCAACAACTACAATTAAAAGCGCAAAACCAACAACAAAATTCACATATAAAACCGCTTATGTCAATCAGTACAAGCGGTCCGACCAACTTAAAATTGAATCCAAATGCTACATCCACCGATGAAACAACAACCGAAGGCGAAAAAAATCTTGCATTAAATTTGTCTAATTTCACCAGCTCTGTATTGACAAATGCACGATACACCGAGCAAATGCAAAAGAAGAAATTGATATGGGGAGCGAAGAAAGCAGCCGAACCAAGTACCACCAATAATAAATGGGAAGCCGCCAAATTTTCACAAGATAACGATGGCAAAGTTGCATCGAAATTTCTTCGTTTGATGGGAATGAAAAATGTACCTTCAACAGCAGCAGCAAACGATGCGGATTCAGGTGTAGAGAAACGAGAAGAAATGTTCTCATCCATGGAACAACAATATGAAGGTCAATATTGGACTATTCACTATTTATTTTAATTTTGTTCTTGAGAATCGTTTCTAATTTTAAATTTTTATTTCTTCCTTTGAATATACAGTCGCCAGACAGGCTACACATACGATGCGCGGTGTTGGTCTAGGATTTGGATCTCACTCACGACCGTGCTAAAGGAAAAAAGATTCACATGAGAATCTCATTGACTATGAATATATTGTTTACTTGATTCTAGAAACCAAGTCACATTTTTTTGAATGTTTAACAATAAAATTGAACATTAAAAACAACATTTGGTGTATATATGTCATTTAATTTGTTTCGTTTGTATCATTTGACAGTTGTTCACAGTATGACAGTTCATATAATTTGACGCATCAAAATGTCAAATATATTTGTTTGTTTATCAAAGCATTTAGAATGCTAAAAAGTTCTATAAATTGTATTGCTAATCATTAAAAATGGTAAGTTTTGTGAAATTAAAAGTATTCAATTCAAGAAACGATAGTCTAACATGCTGTAAAATAGTGTACGTAAAAAAGTGGTCATTTGACAGTGAGAAAAAGAAAGACAATTGAAAAATTCTCAAGCTGGTTCTTTACATTCAGTTCCCCAAAAGTTAACATTGAATATTTTATTTCAAAAAATACATAAATCCATTTCATTTGTCATGCAAGTATATAATAAAACTATATGGTTTTTATGCTCAAAAAGATTCATAGTTGAACGTATTAATTGGCCAGCTCAAATGAATTTGGTTCGCACATTTTGGAATGCATACATAAGTCATACAGACTAGACTATAGATGAATATACAAAATTAATTCTTTTTTCTATTTCATTGTTGCAAGGAAATCCTTCACTTGCGTCCTCCCCAGGGACGAAACCTATTTTTTAAGTAGTGGAAAATATGGAGTTATATTATGGAAAAGTAAAAATTTCACGTTCAATCAATAAAATACTTACGGAGCCCGTATCACAATTTTCGATTGTCCCACGTCTTTGCTCAAGTCCACATTTGTTGGCATCCGTGAATTTGATTGACTGTTTCCGCCATTCCGTTTACCACCCCACGAATGGAATTTCACTTTTTTTATTGTATTTCGTTTTTGGGCAATCGAATCATCCAAGTCCCGTGCACAGATCGATGAACTAAAGAAATTGACATCAGTTTTACAACATTTTTCATATAACATATTGTTGAGCATTTCATCGAGCTCCTTGTCTTGCAAAAGTATCAAAATTGTAAGATAATAGTAAAGAGCCGATTTGGTGGTTTCGCCAGCACGTTCGGTTGGAAAGAGTAGTGTGACATCATTGTCGAAAGCTTGCTGTTTTTCCAATATTCGCAACAACGTATTTATGTAACGCTGTTGATGTTCTTTCCCCAATCCAGGCAATTTCATCGATTCTTCGTCATCTATTTGGAAGTGAAATAAATTCTCAAAACTGATGTCTATCAAATGACTGTCCGCGAATGAAGGTGAGACTTCTCCCGAAATTTCATTAAAGTGCAAAATTGTTATAAAAATAAAATCTCAATTTTTATACGACGAAGATACATTTCAATAAAATCTCAGGAAAAGTTTCACTTTTATTCTCGAATAATTAATTTATAAATAACAAGTTTTACCGATATCAGTTTCCATATTATGCTTGAGATTTTGAATAAAATCATGCACTTTGCACGAATCATACAGCCTGAGCAGAGATTTTGCTGTCAATTGACGATATCGCCCCAGCAATTCATCATTATTTGTTATAGCTGGAGAAGCCATTGGATCATTATTGGCTGATGGATTTCCATAAACACTTTCTTCAGTTCCATAGGCTGAAGTTAAATGTGCTGGGGCTTGCTGAGATCGACAGATCACTAGCAACATTGCTGGGAGAAATATGTGCGCCAAAATCATTTTTTTACAATTTTCGGAGAACGTTTCAGGGAATTATCTAGATTTGAATAACCATAGATTTGAAATTTAAATTATTTTTATACTTTATGAAAAACTACGAAAGAAAAAAATTACACAAACAAGAAAATCATCGCGAGTCCATCATTTTTCGAAAAACTTAATTGATTTCCCTATTCATTGTGTAACGGTTTTGGCCATATGCTAATTAAGTTTCCGAAAATAAATATTATTCTAACATCAAAATCTGACGAAAAAAAAGCATAGATTTTGTCCAGCTGAAGTAATTCGATGTCAATAAGTGATAGTTTATTCATACACTCACACAATGATGAAAAATAAATCGATTGAAAATGTCCAATGAATTGCAGAAAAATAAACGATATTTACACTAAATATTTGATGCACAAAAAAATATGTAGTTTTCCAAAAGAACTGAACAAATCTTCTGTTTAATGTATTTTCAATGTGACTGAGAGGTTCGATTCACTAAATATAACTGATTTAACGGTGAAATATGGCAAATCACAGTTTTTCAGTTTAACATTGCTTGCGCTTTCATCGTGAACTGACATGATCGATGTTGAATCAGCGACTTTTATATTCGCTCAGCATTAATTATCTCTTAAAAAATAATCCTGACCATTTGCTATTATCATCAATGGTAACGCCAAACTGTTCATGGAATATTGTTTCTTCATGCGAAAGCGTTTTCCAGCTAATAACAATTTCATGTTATACATAAAGCAACATTCGTAATTTTCTTCCTTAGAGATGAGCTAACAAGTTGATGCAATTCATAAGTGGATGGTATACAAAGTTTGGTCAAGCGAACCGAAATATAAATTAGTTGAGACTCTTTGATTCTAACATGGAGGCGTTTTATAAGCATCGTATCTTTGTAACAAAATTTCAAACTGTGTGTATTCCATTTTCAATTATTTTCTGAGCATCGGTCATGATCTAATGAAAGTTATTGTTGTTTTACTACGTCATCTGAATTGACGACCATTTGTTTATGATTTGGTGATTTGTTTCAATTGGGCGCGTTTTGCTCATAAAATTCACTTTCGTCTATCACTCTATAGATCACTTGTTACGCATTTTAATCGGCACGTATTGTTTTGATCTCATTTACGTTAAATAGCGTTGAGCTATTATTCTATTGTCTTCTAATCGGAATGAGAATCAATTCTATTGTCCTCGCAGACGCGATAGACGAGAATTCTGTTTTGTCGAAAAAGGAAATGTAGCGTAACATATTTATATGCATGCAACGTGCCAATACATTTCAAACGAGGATAACAAAATCACACCGACTAACCAACACGTTGTTTATTTTCTAGGGTGAATCAAATCACGACTTCATCAGAATGATGAGCAATTTCGACAAATTAACTCTGGAGAAAACTGCTTCATAGAAATATGACTGTCATATTCTCTGGGAATTACATAATTTTTCGGGACTTTTTCTCGATTTTGGATGGAATTATTTTTGAATTTGGCTAAAAAAATGTCTTTACGGAAGTTTTACTGTATATATAGTTATTGTATGTGTTGAAAAAGCAAGGGGAAGAGACTGATACAAATGCTATGAATTTAAAATCATTCGTAAGGTAAAAAGGTCAACAGTTGAGAATTACTTGGTTGCACACAGAAATACATCTTTTCACATTTTCAGCTTCAGCAACTATCGCGTAAAATTAAAAATCGTTCAAACTCAGTCCATTTTCTATGTTGCTTATACTTTGTTGCGATTGCGGTGTGCAACATATTGTAAAATTGTGGCAGTATCTTTTCTACAGAGACGGAGTATTTCTTCTTATTATTGTTTAATTGGTTGTATCAATTTAAATATCACACTCCATTGCCTTTTATTCGCCCCATCTAAGTCCACGAATAGCTCTGAAGCAATCAAATAGTATTGTTTCATAAGTGCATGTAATAATCTTTTTTGGGACGTATAATGTCTGAGTCTAACAGTGTATAGTGTCTAGTCAAAATACTGGATGAATGTATTATAAGACAAGATAGTAGCTGAATAGAATTGATTTTAATCTGATCCGCCGTATGTTTACTCTATTTATAACATTGCAATTGCAATATCTTCTCTATATTCATCATTGATAATAATCAATGTAAACGATTGGTATTGTTTCTATTTTTACATCGAACGAAAGCTATTACCGTTGGAATGGTATTCAGTGCCAAATATGGCTTTTAATTAAAATAGAGATAAACTTAAGCATATATTTAAACGTCTAAACGTTTCTTAAACCAAACAGTTCCACGCACGAGTGAACTCAGTACTCAACACTTACAATATTCTGGTTTAAATCTTTTGACCATTTCCGTACTGTTTCTGTGTAAATGAAACTTTATAATATCTAAATATTCTCATTTTCAAAAAAAAGAGAGGCAATGAAGTTCCAAGGAGAAATATAATAAAGTTGAGCTAAGAAATGATTAAGCTGTTTCTGTAGAAACATATTTTCCACTCGACATGTTTGGGTGCACGACAAATATGAATCAAGTAAACTGACATCTTTTGATTGCGAACTGCAATACAGCAATTTAATTGAATGGATCAATTTAAAATTTACACTCGATTGCATATTTTACGTTTTTTTTTCTTCATCGAAATGTGGGAGAGAGCAATCATTTTTTTTTTTTTCTTTTAGAAATTCCGTTTCTGTGGAGACTGTGACTGTCCGGATTGGGTGTTGGCTGAAATTCACTCGTCATTGTCTATGCTCACTTCGGTTAAATTGAAAATATTGACACAACTCGTTGCAAACAGCATAGTAGGTGAAGAAGTACCGGTAAGCTATAAACCAGCATTATTTAAAATAATAATTTATTTCGATAAAAAAAAACTGGTATGAATTGTGTGTTGTAGGAATCAAAATTGAAAAGTTCCTTTATGAACAATAAAAATGATTTAAAGTCTATCAAGTCGGCGATGTCTTGTATTCGATTTTTGTTGGTGAATGCGACACGATTTCAAACTGATGAAAGTACATTTTCAACGGAGTTGCAGCAATTGGGTCTCCCTACCGAACATTCCACCGCCATTTGTCGTGTATTCAAAGAACAAAATGGTAGCATTCAGGAATATCTGACAAAGAACAGTCTTACAGGTAAATGAGAATAATGATTGATAGATGGTGGAAGGGGTCACAAAATAAATACGCCGTATTTAAGGTAGACAAACAATTAAAATCACATAATTTATATATTTTGTTATTTTACCATTCAAAATTTAGTGAATGAGCTCATCGATATGACATTCGATATACCAACTGATACAATAGACTGTGCTTGCATTAAATTCAAATTGAAAAATGAATTAGTTGATGGAGTGCCTACGGAAACAAATCACGAGATCAACGTAGGGAAGTCCAACATAAAAATGTTACTCAAAGAAATGAAAGCGGTTCGCAGCCTTATGGACGAAACGGAATGAGAACCGAAAACCGGTCAACCCATTCATGCGGCATAGAAAGTGTTGCAGTCATATATATTTTTAAATTTATATTTTGATGCAAAAAGCATTTAATGAAATTAGTATAAGTGCAGTCAGGCTCTCAAGTGATATTCTCCAAATTTCATTTGCTTGAATAAAAAATAATGATAATTTAGAGCATTTTACTTATTAGAAGAAGAGTTTCTGAATTTAAAACCTGCAACACATACGATTTTAACAATAAATTTTCGTTTAAATTGACTTTTACTATTTTCAATGCATAAATATATGGTTTTCGGTTTTTGCAAAACTTTTCCCCTTCAACATTTTGCAGATTAAAAAGCATTCAACAAAAATTCATAATGAAGTATGCGTGTAAGTAGAAAAAATGAAGAAAAAAATCACACATCTTCAGTGTGAATTCAGTTTCAATATTCAATTAGCGGTCTACTAGCTTCTGGAAGTGTATATGATGTAAGAAACCTCAAATGGATTTCGACCATTTTCGACTTGATTTATTGAATCTGTAACCAATTTGGCTGCATTGCTCTTTTGGCGCACATTAGAATGACTCGAGTAATCAGCTTATGTGAAAAGAGCTAAGCAAACTAACGACAAACCATTCATATAGCACAACCATGTGTTATTTCTTTTGCGGATTTACTACATTAAGAGATTTGCCATTTCATAAGCCATATATGTACGCAGATCTATGCAGATGCACCAAATCATATAATAAAATTAATCATCAAAAGTGGAAAATTATTATCAAAAAATATCGCCCTTACTGGCCGACAAAACGAGGGGTGGAATTTATAAGGTTTTTGTTCCGGATATAAACTGTGTGGAAAAGCTCAAAAAGTCTATCCAAGATAAAAACCTGAACTTTGAGCGTTTACAAACGCTATCGCTCGAATAACGAATATTTCAAACTCGCTTCGAATGAAAAATTAGCTCTGTTTGTGAATTGCACGAGTTTCACAATAAATAATTTGAACACGGTGAATTTGTTTTTAAAACAAAGTTAGCATTACCTCTAAAATTAGCTGGAAGTGAATTATGATTATTACGGTATTTTCAATATTGGAATATGGTCCGTCGAAAAATAAAACGAAAACAAAATAATGTCGACAATGTTAAAGTACACAGTATGTAAACGTGGCTAATCTGATATATGTGTCGAAGTAGGAGTCACTTTGCAGCGAAAATAAAAGTGGAATTGAAATTGCAATAAAATCAACACGAAAACGAAAAAGTCTTTTGAAAATGTCATAAAAATGTGTAACATTCGATTCTTATTGACAAAATTTGGCATTGTTGAAATATATACTTTGGTGTGCATTTAGTTTTCTTTTAAATACTGAACCGAACCCACTGGAGTGGGCCGGTATCAAATCAAACACAATGGAACGCAAACAAGCACAGCGTCAAATGTTTAAAATTCGATTATATAAAAAGTTGCCATAACAAATCGACGAATCGGTCGAGAATACCTTCGAAAACACATGCTTAATTTTAACTTGAATGGCACGAAACGACATTTGTAAAATTGTTCGAGTAGAATTCAAAGTCAAAAAATTATGCATTAGTTTACTATCGTAATAAAGACGCCAGATGCTGCGATGTTAAAAAAAACGTCAACAAATATTGCTTTTCGTTAATAATAATATTCAATATGATTTTTATCAATTGCCATTGTTTCAAATCCGAATCGAATTTATTACACTGCGAGTATTAACATTTTAACCCTCGGTTATTGAAATGGGGAGGGCGGATGAATGTGGACAATCATATTATTTGTTTGCGTCATATTTTCTGCTTTTTAAAAGAACACATTTGTAATAAATCGAACTTTTTTTTTCGTTTAAATAATGTTAGGGAAAAAAGTTTAGAAATGAATAAATTTCGTTTTTTTTAATTAAAGTTAACTTAAAATAGTCAACGATTTTGTTGCTTTAATAAAATAAGTCAATATTGCATGAACCACGGATCATGATAAATCAATCTTTTTTTTTTTTGCTAAATAAGAATAGATCAAAGTATACATTTCAGTAGATTGTTGTGACCGGAGCTCGTAATGATTCCTTTCAACTTCCTTTCGAGACAGATAGAAAACACGTTTTTATTCTCAAAATTAGGGACTTATTTAATATTTAGGCTGAAAATATTTTTAAAAAAAGACAGGATCAGTACATTGTATAATGGCTTCGAGTAATTTTATGTGTCATTTCAAAATCGCCGGCTTTAAATTCTATACATAAATTTGCATGTTGATGATGTTTTGGTTTAGAAGTATGTTTATATATCACCTTAAATTCATGGAGTGCATTTTATTTGTACCACCAATGGTTTCATTTGATTCTTATTTAATTCTCATCTCAATGTAATTTAGTTCCGATTAAAAGGCGTGCAACGCCAACGACACGCTCTTCGAAAGGGACACAACGTATATCTCTTGACTTATTGCCTGCTTCTTTGCGAGCAAATTTTTCACAGCTTTGTCACGCGACTAGTCACGTGTCATACTCCCCATTGCATAGATACAATAATATATACACCAGACGATAACAAAAATAACGCAACATTTGATTGTATGTAAACACTCAATTACATACAATTTAATAAATACACATGTTCGCACCAATGTAATCCGCTTTGTTGAGTGTGTGTGTGTGTGCGTGCGCGCGTTCGAGCATATATTTATGAGAGGAGTTCGTCGTTGAATTGCGCGGGTGATAAATTTCGTCTCATCAACTTAATCATTGTCAATGGTAAAGCAGTGCACAACCAAAGCAAACGAACATTTTTATGTGTTATCGATTAAAATTAATATTAATAAATTAGATTTACATAAATAAACGGGTGAACTTAAGCATTGTAGGCGCAATAGAATATGGATGTACAAAAATGAAATGTTAAATGGGAACCATGCTGATTGAATTTACTGCCGTACAATATATTATTTATTTTGATAGATTACATTGAAGATAAGGCAAAACGACACACCGAGCGAACACAAATCATGAAGGGATGACTCTATGTTCGCTGTGAGTGCAACGAGTTGGTGTTAAAATGTTGACGTGCTAGCATGTTTGCGTCGAAAGGGCAACATCGGTGCAAGTGTCGACGGTTTTCCTTGGGAATATTTACAAATACGGAATATTAAATCTATCATATCTAAAATGTGGCTCTCTTCGTTAATTCTCCCACGAGAGACGCATGGCTAAATCAAGAACATGATCGACATTCTCATCAAAACGCTTTGATATACCTTATTTTCTTGTGGTTCCCATTGAAATTGTATTTGTTTAAGAACATTAAATTGAGGGTGACATCATAACTGATACGCACAGTTGCGCATTCTTCTTTTTTTTCCGCTGTGGGTGCATACAATTAAACCCAAATTATATAAAAATTAAAATATAAATCACAACATATTTGTCGGTAAGTCTAACACATGTAGAAAAATTATGTATTCTTCAATGTTGGCTTACGATACAATGATCCATCAAAATCGAGGTGACATTTTGCTCACCACGAGGATTATGCGAAACAAAACCGCATCCGTTCAACTTTGTAAACATTTGTTCGTTTCGATCTTGTGACGCAAGGATGTGAGAAAATATGGCTTTCAAATCAAACAAAAAAATATGTCCAATGGGTCGTCAAATAATTTGCATTTTGATGTTTTTTAATGTTTGAATTGTATATTCAGTTGACAGTAGAAAAAAAATACACATGTATTCACATTACACCTCCGCAATAAATCTATCATTGGATGTAAGACAAACGCTGACTATTTTTCCACGTGATTTGCGCACGCTGTGTAAAATGAATTTTATTTGATTGCTTTGATTGTAGGCTCATTTTCGTTGACGACATGTTCGATTGTGCGAAATCAAGCCATAAAATTGATATGAGACCCAATTGAAAAACCTATAAAAAAAAAAGCGAATCTCCCTCTCTCTCACACACACAACACAATGGTCCGAAGCCTTTGAATGTCGATGGTATTTGGTAATGCAAGGCATTTGCACACGTGAAATTGAAATAAATATTATTTTTGATTCTTTTTTATCGCCGTATGTGTGTGTGTGTTTTGGCCAATGAAAATACATGAAAAATCATTCAGCCAACAAGAAATCAGGCGACTCACGTGCTATTGCATTATAATATCGTATACGAGAAGCAATAAAAATATAAATAAAAATAAAAAGGAAACATATTTACGTATCAATTTTATTTTTACAGCCCTCACATATGCGGTGTTTTTGGGATTTTTATCCTTTTTTGCATACATTCTTCCCTCTCTCTCTCTCTCTTGCATTGGCCAAACATCAAGCAATGAGCAGTCTCATTTGTTATTTCTGATTGCCAACGTCAATGCGTTGTTATTACCTTTTTGAAATTGGTTTTAAATTGATCACTTTTGGCCGTTCAATTTCGATTTTCACAAATGGCACTCAAATAAAAACCATTTGGGGATATTTTCTTAGACTTGTGATGATTAAACTGCATAAAAGGTACTACTATATTTTCTAAACAATCCAATCGTTTCACCAAAAATATGGTGTGTGTGAGAAGAATCAAAAAATTTGCAACAGACTAAAGGTCTCTTTGTGGTTGTATTCTGAGAACCATTCTGCATTCTTTTGTTTTTTCTTCTTCTTTGCAATAAGAAAACATTTTTATAACGCTATAAATAAATGTGTTCGTTTCTCTTTTTTTTCGGTTGACCGTGCGCATAATTTTGAATATTTCGCGCGTCACATTTCGAAAATCGATCTACCTTTCTGGTTAATTCACTTCGATTTACTTGCAACAGTTGCGAAACACTTTGATTTTATGTTTTTATTTCATGTTATTTACGTAAAATAGGTTATAAAAAGAATCGTAGCGTTAACAATAACAACAGGAACCCCATATAAATGCCACACATACCAAACATATGCTATAATTTCGGCATTACCTACTGTAAGCTCCTATTTTGAGTTTGATATCATAAAAACACTGCATTGAAAATCATACATGGTTCGACCAGATTGAATTTTGAATAGAAAATCCATTTTGTCAAAGATAATCACTTTATTTGAAAATAGTGCACCAACGCACTTCGGCTCCGTTTTGTTCCCCGTAAAATGAAATTATTGATGTAATTTAATCGAAGAAAAAGCTGCATTGCACTTAAATAAGTGGACCGTTTTTCTTTTCGGCATTTCATGCGAAAATTGTGAAAAACTTTACCAAAATTAAAAAG